TTCTTGAAAAAGGCAAGGCTGCAAGGATAATACCAGCAAATATAGACAAGTTAGTTTAACTTCAATAGTGGGAAACTTCTAGAAACAATTGCTTGCAATAGAACTAGTAACCACATGGAATTAGATGTGATAAGGAAGAGTCACAGATTTCTAATGGGGAAGTTCTGTTCAACTGGGAGTTTTTTCCTTTTGAAAGGCAACAGAAAGATTGGAGGGCAATTGTTGAATGGTATATATGGACTTCCTAAAGACATTTGACACAGCCACACAACAGACATGAGAAAAGTGATGGAATTTAAAAAAAAAAGCAATAGTAACAATGTAGTACAAAACTGATTGAGTAATAGGAAACTGTAATGGTCAATGGATTTTCTTCAAGCCAGGAGGAGGTTTGGAGTTCTCCAAGGGTCATTATCAAGACCTCTGCTTTTCTAAACGTATTAATGAGCTGGATGCTTGTGTGCAGGGGATAGTACTGAACTCCAAAAGTTCATTGACAAATTGGTGGAATGAGTTGATAAGTGGCAGATGAGGTTCAATGCAAAAACATTGAGACAATTTAAAAAAGGTTCTTTTGCCCAAAATGAGAGACAATATAAAGTGGGTGAGTGCAATTCTAAAGGGGCTACAGGAAAAGAGGCTCCCTAGATGTACATACACAGATCATTGAAGGTAGCAGGACATAAGGTCAGCAGTTAAAGCAATGTTCTGATTTATTAGAAGTGGCCTAGAATAAGAGAAGTAGAGAAAAGTGATGTACTTGTCTCATACAAGTTCTAGACCTCAGCTACAACATTACAGGAAAGTGCCGAAAACAAATTTACAAGAATGATGCTGGGACAAATTTCAGTTGAGGATAGATTGAAGTAGTTCACCCTGGAAAAGCAAGGTCTGAGGAGAGGTAGATCTTGCAAAATCATGATCAGGCTGAAAATAGTAAATAGGGAAACTGACCCCACTTGTTTCGGAATGACTGCATTGATTTAAAGTGATGTGCAAATTTAAAAAAAAAAAAAGTGTGGTGATGAGGGGGAAAAGCTAATAATTTAGAATAAGTATTGAATACAGAGAAGACATGTCCATTCAGGAGGGCACTGGATATTTTGGATAGAAATGGTGCTCAGGAGTATGGGAAGGAGGCAGGAGATTGTATCTGTACTAATTCTTACTGAATGCCAACAAGCTGATTAATGACTTCATAATCACAATTGTGGGTCCAAGGTAAGCATTGCCTCATCAACCCTGCAAATTCATCATTTCATGTCAGTATTTGGTAGCTTCGTCTCATTTATTACTAAGCGAACAGCCTGCCAATCATTGCCAGTCTTCAGGCTAATCTCAAACACTGATCAACATCCCTGGCCATGTCCTATGCCACTCCAGAGATGACAGCACAGACAAGAGCAAATGGCCTTCTGTCAGTGACCCTATGAAGTTGCATGACATCAGGTCAAACATAAGTAAAGAAATCACCATTGCCCATTCTGCCTCAAGTGATGTAGGAATGCTCCTCCACCTTCAGCACCACTTAGAAGCACTAACAGCAGTACTATATACTCTGCATTTAGTGGGGAAACCATTATCAACTCTGTTGGCTTTGTCCTGAAGGAGACATCTTCCACACAGGGTCTACCACAGGTGCTGAGAACCAGGAAAACACAAAAACCTGTTTGATCAAATAAAGGGAAAAACATCTACTTTACTCCCATTTGCAGATCGTCAGGAAGCTTAGCTCTCAAATTTTAAAACTAAAAAGAAAAAAACCAGTACATTTCACTTCCTGGTCCACTACCTAGAAAGAGAAACTGGCTGTTTATTCTGTTTTGATGCTACTGCTGGAAATCCTTTTACTTCAGGGAAAGTGACTTTAGGTTAGACCTCTGGAATGAGTTTTCTTGGTGCAATGGCAAGCACTACTGCTTCACCAACTGAAATCCCAAGTAAATAGAAACTGCATTTGTATTGAAAGCCCCACTAAAACTTCAAAAACATTTGCTAACACCATGGGCTCAAGCTGGATGTTAGATGCAGAGCTGAGAAAAAGTGCACATTACAGAAGAATAAGATTAGTTGCACTCAAATAATATTCAAATTAATTCAGACACTTACAATAAAGACTCTTTTATTAGCCATTTCCTCAGTTCATCTTTTAAAAAAAGGTGGAGGCAGATATGAAAAGATCCAGCGGTCACAGTTATATCTTGAAACTGCACTTAGAATGTTGAGGAAAACAAATTCTGGCTTATGCACTGGGGCTAGAACAGTCCCTAACAGTTGCAACAGGTCTAAAGAGTGAAATGAACCAAAATTGAATGAGTAGTTTTCTAGCTGCTGCTTACATTTTGAAGATGACCCTCTGATAAAATGGATTTTTAAAGCTCTGGGCCAAACAAAGCCTGCAAGGAATCATTAATTCTATAGACTAGATGTTTTGCAGCATTGGTCACAGGTATGATTCTATGATAGGACATTGACAAGGTGGAAATTGACTGATTTAAGCATTTATAACTACAATTACCATTAGAAAATGACAATTAGCAAGTTTGGGATCAAATATTTAATGTCCAATCACATGAACAAGATTGAAGTGGAGACAAATAATCTGCTAAATCCACTGCTTTACAGTTATGAAACATGGAATAACCACATTGCAAGCATGAATAGAGACCCATGAACCATAGCCAAAGCATGAGCTCTCAGTCAGGCAATGTTACAAACTCTCAAGTCCACAAATCCCCACTGTTAGCTGACACAAACAAATGTTTGGCTCTAAGCAACCAGGGAATGCAAGTTCGGAAGGGGAAGAAAATTTGGCTGAATCAATTGCTCCATGACAGTTAATGTATGAAGGCAGCCATTTGAGCAACCTAGTTCATGAGTTATCACAGCTCCATTAACAAGCTGCTGTAATTACCTGAAATGGTATATACAAGTAATTCTTACATCCTGAAATTTTCATTTGTTTGAAACAAACATATCAGCAAATCACTAGAGTACAGCTTAACTTGTTTGAAATCAATTAAATTTAAATACTTATGAAATTTAGTGTTGCAGATTGGTAAATTCAAATAGTCTAATCTAAGGGATTTAGAAATTAAACTATTTCAACTACTATAGTTATCATTGGCTACCTGTTCTTCCACCTTGCTCTATATTGTGCAAGTAGAACTTCTATTTTGCTTCCTATAATCCAAATCAGTGAAGATAGTCAAAAAGGTACTAAAAAAGACCCATTACAACACCAAAAGGCCAGTCTTAGGACACCGCACAGAACAAGAACAGCCCCTATTGTGATATAATTGTCAAAAGAAGCAATGAGTTCTCACATTCAGTGAGAAAGTGCACACTTTATTGCCCTTTGGGATTTTAATCAGTTATTCAATTATCTAAGTAAGGGCAATTAGAAAACTGATATCTGGACTCGAGATGCTGGCCATCTTCATGTTATGCATTGATTCATGAATAAAGTGACATCACCAATAGTCTAAAACAAACTGCAACTAGCAAATTAGATGAACTGTTCTGACTGACTGGCCTATAAAAAAAGTGAATTTAAGTGAGGTATTTATACTATTGGGTGACAGAAGTCAAAAGCAGTGAATAACCGTTACATTATTCAGAATGAGAAGTCGATATCACTTCATTCCTATCAAAAATTTGAAGAGTTATGGAATAAAGTGGACTAGTAATTGGTTCAGTGACTGAGGTGGTAGCATACCACAGTACCAATACCAAAGGGTCACTTGAGATGAAGCCTAATTAGGAAGGGCACCAAGAGTCAATTACTATACTAACAGTAATAATGCAGATGAGAGAATCTAAATTTGCTACCATCTATGCTTATTGTATCTATATATGCAAATAAGGATAATCTAAATAATTGTTACAAGTTTCCTATGAAATTAGACAATTTGACTCTGAATATTCATTAATTACAAATCTAAAATGGATTAGTGATAAGTTAACATTTGGCTGTGACCAAGAAATAGACAAGTGTTGGGATTCTGTTAGGTTCACTGGCCCCTCCCTGGTCAGTTAGCAGACAATACTTATTTTAAGAAAACACATCATTCAAATACCCGCAAAAAGAAGGAAAAAAAAGCCAAAGAACACACACTAACTTGGTGTCTTGAATATAATGCACAAATAACTTAGCTCTGAAACAGAAACTTAACATTTGCCATAAATTAATGTCAATTTTTCCAGTAATTGTAACTAAACTGCAGTTTACCATTTGTGTTGTTGCCAGGCAAGCAAGTGCTCAGAATTAACACCTCAATCTCGTGTTGCAACATGCACCTTTTAGGGCACCAAATAATATTCTGGGAACCATTAAAATATCAATCCTGACATGATATATTTCTAAACCTGCTTTGGTTGACTGAAATGTTCAACCATCTTCCTTCTACTGCTTTGGAGGTCAAAATTACCCATAATTTATATTACACTTGCTCCCAAGACAGACAATACTTTGAGTGGTTAATTCAGCAGAACCAGTGAATTTATAGCACTAACTGGCTTTGACTCAAATAGCTTTAGTTGAATTCAGTAGGAAGAGGAAATCTGTGAAAACCCAATAAAGTTAGCATATTTACAATCTTTCCTATGGCAATTACAGTATAGTGACAATGCAATGAAAAGTGGTTTGACAGTCTCTTTTATTCTCACTAGTTGAATGGATCAATGATTTCAAAGTTTAAAATTGAATAGTGCAGTGTTACAGGATGGTAGAGAATGCCAAAAATTGGACACATGGTTAAAACCTATAGGTCGTTAAAAATTCAACTGCAACATTAATGATACCACTGAGGTTGCTCAATCAGGAGTCAAATCTAAACTGATCAATAAATAAGGCATCAGGTTCTATAGTTATTTGGCTGTCGCAGATTTCAGATAAGCTATCAAGTCTTCACGCTCACTCTTCTTCTTGAGACCTGCGAAGATCATTTTTGTTCCTGGAATATATTTCTTCGGATTTTCCAAGTAGACCATCAGTGTCTCCTCATTCCAAGTAATACCTGGAAAAAAAAGCACCATCTTCAAGTGGAAGACAAAGTATCTTCTTTCTGAAAAGAGCTGACTAAGCCAAGCTGTCCTTGTTGCTCAAATCTAAGCAAACAAGCCTTGCAGATCTAAGTCTTAGGAGGGAATGGGAGTATTGTTTTGAAATTCAGTGTTCCTAGCCTAGGTGGCCATGGTCAAAAGCAGCTATACTTGATTACCTTTCAGAAATTGCTGAAAGTGCTCTAATGAAACATGGGCAGAGTTACTTAAATTCACAACCAAGGTTCAAACATAGATACATCCTGTGATGGAATCAAAACAAATCATGGAAGGTATTCAAAGAGATGAATCCAGTTTTATGCAATTAGCATACATGGAAGCTAACTCTCTGCCTGCAGATGACATTAAGTTTGAGGAGATTTGTACCTCAGGTTGTGGGTGAGGTTGTAGACTGCTTGCTCAGCTGGTGTTTGATTGCAGACATTTTGTCACCCTGCTAGGTCACATCAGTGCACCTCCAGTGAAGACAAACAGACAAGACTATTCAGACCTGTAGGTATCACAGTAGCCCACAGACCACCCTGTGACAGCTACTGATGAATGTAAAGGATCCCATACCCACAACCAATAAAACTAATGTGATATACAAAAATACCACACAAGGACTGAGAAACATCACATCGGCCAAACTGGAAGAAAACTGACAATATGGATATATGAACACCAACTAGCCACCAAGGGACACCACCGGTTCTCACTGGTCTCAATACACACGGACAAAGAATGACATGAATTTGACTGGGACAACACAGCCATAATAGCACAAGCCAAAGAGACATGCCAGGGAATTCCTGGCATTCCAACCAGAACCCCAACACTGAACTGGACCTGATATACAAGCCACTTAACAGAACCAGAAGTGATGCCAGCCACCCCAGGAAAACCAAGGCCTATAAACAACAAGCGGGACAGAACATAGTTTCACCAGAAACTGACTGTTACCTAGCAGTGTGATGAAACGTCTGCAATCGAACACACCGACTCAGCAAGCAGGTCTACAACCTGATGACATTCTACCACAAAGTTAAGGACAGTACCACAAATCTTGAAAGGACTGTAGTTAGACAAAAAAAGCAGAATATCTAATAGCAAGAACAGAACCAATGAGTTGGTCTACAGACTTCGGGTTGAAAAAACATCAGGTGCTGTATTTTGTTCTTGAGGACTCCAGCCCACTGTCAAGATCTTTCATGCTTAGCTCAACCAGCTTTTATGCAATTGTTAAGTGTTCTTAAGTACACAAATGTCAAACTTTTAAATTTAAGACATCAATGCTGCTTTAGCAAAAGATATTAGATTTTTGGGATTAAGCTCACTAGTCTACAGTTACTGGTCCCTCCTGCCCATCATTTGTTCCTTTAACATCAGGGCCTATATAGAACTAATTTCTTCACCATTCAAGCTCTTTCCACTTTGAGAGATTAATAAATTTAACTGGATCAGACCTAGCAATGTTTCATTAATTCATTGTGTCTCGGGGTAGAAGAGAAGGAAAAACAAACATACTACCGTTGGGCTACATCTCCACCTTTGAGACAGCAGGGACCAATTCAAGTTTCAGCTGCCTCAGTTACGATACATTTAAAACAAACTGATTGAAAATATTTAAAACTGACACTTAATGCCACAAATTGATCCCCATGAGAGAGTAATTTTAGTACAACATAATGCTGGCCAAGGATATAAAAAAAAACTTTAGAAGGAACTACACAGCAATCTTGAAGTGAGGCTCAATTTGTTTTTGATATACATTACTTGCCTGGACTTTGAGGCACAGGGTACAATTTCAAAGTTAATGTATCTATGAATTTTGAAGTGTGCACAGGGGGTTGGGGAAGGAGAGCTTAGGAGGATTGCTGATGAGCTGAATGCCCCTATATCTTATTCTGCTCACTTTAAAAATGTGATGTATAGCAGCATTTTCTGACATTAACCCTCAATTGTTCCAGTTTAACATAGCCAGCTTAACTTGCATCTTCCAGAAGGAAGAAAGTTCTTCACCACCTAGACAATCTTTTATCATCTTCAAAGACTTCTAAAAAAAAGGATCTAGTTGTCTAACAACTTCTCACCCCACTTACACAAGTGGACCTGGATGCAGTCACTCCAAGGCTGATATTTCCTTCCTGGCCTATATTGTCTAGGATAGAATGCAGTAGCGATCTAACTAAATAACTGTATAATTAAAGCTTTGCACCAAGACAAACATCAGTACTCTATTCATTTAGAAAGTTTTTGTACTTGTCCAGTAGCTTAGTGACTTTTGTATGGGAATGAACCCTGTTGTCCTTTAATACAAATCCTAACGCAAAAATAGGTCAGAACTTCCCTCAGCATTTTAGGATGCATTCCATGTCTGTAGGATTGCAATATAATCACCAACTTAAATTTCATTTGTGCAAAGCAAGTTCTTTATCTAGAGCTAGTTTGTCAGCACTTAAAGTTGTGCAATTTCAATAAACACAAGGGGTATACAACCAGACTTTAGCTTCACACAATTTTATGCAACTTTCACAATGTCTTAAACTAGAGCCAAACTCCAGGTCTTTAAAATGCTTCAAGAATCAAATAAACTCAAAATTACTGCAGTGACATATCTAATCTTAAAAGTTAGATCATCTTCCTCTATATGTTGAGAAAAAAAGTGGGTTGCCTTGGACAATCCAGTCTCAGATTGACAGCTCAATTTCATCCATAACCTATACAACCTGCTCATTGTTACAATGGCACTTTGAATCTTGCCAAACTTCAGTCAGGGACAGGATTGAAATGGTTCTGACCAAGGTGGACTAGGCTATTCAACAGTTGTAGCTATTAAGTAACTGTCAATATTTTACTGGCAGTTATCAATGTAAGGCCAGCAATGATTGCAACCAAGTAATCTAGTTATCTAGATGAATAAGCATCTTCTGCCTTTGGAGATGCAGCCAAATGAGAAATATGCTACATTGAGAGTTTGGAATCACATGAAAAAGCAAATTGGCCAAATCTAGACAGTTAGGAATAGAGGAAAGTGTACTTGTGATTAATCAGAGCAAGCCAACAGGTCTGCCTAGATCACAGAGTGGAAACAACCGTCAGGTTAAAATTTCAGGTGGGCAAAGTTAGCTTGTAAGTTTTGTTCGCTATAGTCTTTAAACATTTGCTCAAATCAAGCTTAAATGCCTTTTTGAAGGACACCAAGCTTAGTTTCTCAAATTTATTCACTCAATTAACATTGTGGAAAATACTTCAACTAGCTACTCATCATGTAGTTAGTGTCTGAACAGTTTTGCAAATTAAAAACATGCAAAATTAATACAATCCAATGAAGTATTCAACTTAACAGTTCCAAATCCAATTGGGATGCGAAGCCCCACTTGGAAGCTATTAAAACACTGTCAAGCCATGTTAGCTTTTTATGCAACTACAGATTCAATTGTCACAAATTGTGAAATTAAAGCTGCTATCTCAGGTATCACACAAAAAGTTACATACCTTTGTTTTTATTTGCGTCAGTGTAAGAAAATCCTTCAGCTTGTCCAGTCTTCCGTCCAAATAAACCACACAGGTTTGGCCCAGTCTTATGCTTGCCTCCACACTCAACTGTGTGACACTGTGCACACTTCTGGATAAAGACTTTCTTGCCTTTCTCTACATCACCCATTTTGCTCTATAATTGCTTGGAGGGAGAGAAAAGGTAAGGGAAGCATTAGTCATAATCAGTACTACTACTAATTTAAAAAGTTTCACAATAAAAATCCAGGAGCTGTGCCTTCAATTATGAATGTTTAATGATTAAAGCACAGCATATAAACATGTTACTATCTAAACTCAGTCTTGATATCCTCAGCACATGATACTATCCACAACAATTATGGACCTAAATGTTTTGAAGTAGTCAGTTTACAGCTTAAAAAAAGTGTAGTAATGACAAAACATGAACTGTTAACACAAGCTTCAACCTAGCTTGAAAGCATAAACTAAATTAAAGCAAAGCAGAATGAGATCAAAGAGCTGGTAGAACTTTAAAAAGTAGAGGGCTTCACCATATTGGACCAAGAGTTAGTGCACACCAACATCTGTAAAAAAAGACAAGGGAAAAGGATTTAATGTACATTTGGCCCACAGCAGCCACGTTTTAGAGGTACTGCATTCATGGAGGATGGGACATAAAAGGCTGTCCACAACAGTTTTGGAACAACTAAATCCTGGTAACAAACAATGTCTCAGCAAGTAGGCGGAGGAAGGTCAGAAACTCAAAAATTGACAAGAAATGCAAAATAGTGATAAATGAATTAAACTGGACCTTATCCCAAGGTCAAACAGAATGGCAAGCCTGAAATTCCACTTTAATTGCCAGAGTATGGAGTTGTGGCATGGTCAGAGGCAATATCTACTATTCTACTAGTGAAGGTAAAAATCAGATCTTCAGTAATTCCACAAGTAATAGTGCAGAAGCAGGAAGTAAAGCGTATGGTCAAAGTATAGGTCAGAGATGTCATGTGACTGAGGCCCATTCAGCATTAACAGCATTTCCAGAAGACGTTTCCTTCCCCAACTTTATAAATTCCTTCCATCAACTTAATCATTTAAGCGAAATTTACGGCTCATTCTTAGTCATAATTTCATCATGTGTGCTTCACAGCTCGGAATAGGTGGAGCAAAGTGAGTCAAGGACAAACCAAAGATCATGCTAAACCTTGAGACAAAACTAATGAGTTTATTTCGAGTGTCTTTAAACACTTTATTTAAAGAAAGCCCTCAAAACAGTAGAATGAAGGGGCAGAAACGAGATATTGCTTGCTTCTTGTGCTCCGTGTCCGACGACAGGCAGCCCCACCGTTTCTGGGAACTCCGGTTAGGCAAGACTGCAATCGATACCAAAGACAGAGAGGGGATAACACACGCCACGGTCAAACAGTTGTATAAGAGAAACCACGGGAGTTAAACGTGAATTAAAGTTTGAAGGTCTTGCAGGTATAATCCTGCGATCAGAACTAAATTGTTAAACTCCTTGCAGGAGAAGATGTTCAATGACATTGAGCCCGCTTCCGCCCTCCCTAAGGCTCAGGGACAGAGAGTAGCCACGTTGCCGGGTTGGAGCTAAAGACCAGGCCACCGTGTCCCCTCGCTGAGATTCCCAGTTCCTTCGGAGGACGTTTGCGGGCGGCAGTAGCAGTAAACCGCCAAGGAACTAGAAACCTGACGCCGGACCAGCGGGCGGGAGAGAGTTTGTGTGTGTGCGCCCGGGGAAGGCCACCGGGAGAAGGGAAGGTCAAACCCCGTGAAGAGCCAAGCGGAGAGCTCACCGGCAAACGGGGAAAGCAGGAGAGCCGGCTCACGACAGCTCCCAATTAAACACCCACCATCCCCATGCCCGCGGGCCCTCACCTTCCTCCGAACCGCCACTTCCCACACTCAAGGTCGTCTCCGCCGGCCGCGCTCCTGATTATATCAGCGGCAGCAGCGAGCGTATGTGAGGGCGCACAGGACGTCCCGCCTCCTCTGCCCGCTCATTGCGTGTAGTGACCCACCTTGGCAATGGCGGAGCCGCTGATTGGGTCACAGTGCCGTCAGTCAGTACGACGCACGCCGCCCCCGCCCATCAGGCTTGCGTAACTCGCCCGGCCCATAATGCATCGCATGTACTTCCCGTGTGTCAGCGCGACGCTGGAGAGAGAGATGTGTGAGGTAAGTAGGGACTCTTGTTGAGCCCGCCATATACATGTACTATGTACTGTTCAAGGGCAATCTCCATCGGTGTGCACTATGCACTATGCACTATGCACTGTTCAAGGGCAATCTCCATCGGTGTGCACTATGCACTATGCACTGTTCAAGGGCAATCTCCACATATATACAGATACAGAGCAAGCTCTATCTACATACATTATACACTGATATAGGACTACCTCCATCTACGTACAACTATACAACAATGCAGGGGAATCACCACCTATATCCAATGCACACTGATGCAGGGTAACTGCTACATATATGCTGTTGGATTATTAAAAAAACTATTCAGTACACGCACTTCTGTCTAGCTATTCATACATACCATAACTAAGTCCAGCCACACAATGCTATTCATGGCCTATGGGCAGCAGCCCCATGGCAATTCATGAGGTTGTTCCAGAATTGTAATGCTCTTACAAAACAGGACTTTGGCTGCACAAGAACAGTGCGGTGTTCCCTTCGATCAGCACCTTCAGGGACAGATGCATTTATGCCAATAGATTGATAAAGATGAGTTCGAGTAGGCTTTATCCTTATATTGCCTCTTATACCTAAAGCAGACTAAATCTGACAGAAAACATTTGGTGGCGTCACTGCGTGATTCTTAGTAATGGACGTTGAGGACGCCCCCCGCCCCCCTCCACCACCCAAAGTATATTCTGATTTCTTGCTCGCTGCTCCTTCCAAATGTTGTTCAACATTGAGTGTTATTGATTCATCAGCTGAGGGAGTGTGGGAGGGGTAATCATCAGGAGGTTTGACTTTATTACACAATAAATCAGGGGTTTGGACGCAATGCTGTGGCCTCACAGAGCCACTCCCTCATAATGGTATGCCTCAAGTGATTTGTCCTGCCAGTGGGACATATGGCAAATTTACTTTCCTAAAAGACATTAGTGAAGCAAATGAGTTCTGTGATGACCATTACCACTACCATTTTTTAATTCCAGAATTACTTAATTGTATTTAACTTACCCACCTGCTGTGATGAGATTTGAGCTCCTATCACCACAGCATTAGTTTCAACTTCTGAATTACTTGTCTTGTGATGTAACTGTTATGCTTTGGTTACCAACTCTCCAAGACAACCAACATATTGAGCAATTGAGTTTCTCCAGCAATTTCTGTTTTTATTTCAAATATTCAGCAGCTGCAGTATTTTGCTTCTATATTCACAGCTATTTGTTGCTTCTAACGCATGACAGGTAATGACATCAATTGCATATTTTGTATAACTTTATTTCATGATGCTGAATTATGTTTTGAAATGTATCTTACCATTCATGGGAAAATTTCCCTTTCTAATACCAACATTTGGTTATTTTGTATGTACAGTCTCACGACCAGCTTACTGGAGCTGAAATGACTCAACAGAGATTGGTATGACACCACTAATTCATCCTTTATTTACACATAGAGAGTCCTTGACACTGATCTGCTTCCTGAGAGCTAGCTCTCAGAGCAAACAGAACCTCTGATATTCCTGTTTATATCTGTCAGCCAGGACTTTCTGATTGGACCAGATTAACAGCCCCAATCAGGGAACTCATGTTCTATGAGGTCTTTTGAATCAGGGATAGTAGGATCTGCAGATGCTGGAGAATCCGAGACAACAAGGTGCAGGGCTGGATGAACACAGCAGGCCAAGCAGCATCATAGGAGCAGAAAGGCTGACGTTTCGGGTCTGGACACTTCTTCAGAAATGGGGGAGTGGAAGGGGGCTCTGAAATAAGTAGAGAGAGGGGGAGGCGACGATAGAAGGTCGATAGAGGAGCAGATAGGTGGAGAGAAGATGGACAGGTCAAGGAGGCGGGGATGAAGCCAGTACAGGTGAGTGTAGGTAGGGAGTTGGGATGAGGTTGGTCAGTGAGGAGGGAAGGACGGGTAGGTGGGAGGGAAGACGGGCAGGTCAAGGAGGCGAGGATGAGGCTAATAGGAAGTGGGGGTGGGGTTGGTTAGTGAGGTGAGAGGAGCGGATAGGTGGGAGAAAGGACAGACAGGTCAAGGAGGCGGGGACGAGAGGGGCTGGTCTTGAGGTCGGGGGTGGGGAGATTTTGAAACTTGTAAAGTCCATATTGAGACCATTGGGCTGCAGAGTTCCCAAGCGGAATGTGAGGTGCTGTCCCTGCAGCCTTTGGGTGGCATCGTTATGGCACTGGAGGCAGTCCAGGATGGACATGTCATCTAAGGAATGAGAGGGGGAGTTGAAGTGGTTCGTGACTGGGAGATGCAGTCGTTTGTCACGAACCGAGGGTAGGTGTTCCACAAAGCGGTCCCCAAGCCTCCGCTTGGTTTCCCCGATGTAGAGGAGGCCACATCGGGAACAGCGGATACAGTATACCACATTAGCAGATGTGCAGGTGAACATCTGTTTAATGTGGAAGGTTTTCTTGGGGGCTGGGATGGGAGTGAGGGGAGAGGTGTAGGGGCAGGTGTAGGTTGCAGGGAAAAGTGCCAGAGGTCGTGGGGCTAATGGGGAGTGTGGAGCGGACGAGGGAGTCGCGGAGAGAGCAGTCCCTCCGGAAGGCAGATAAGGGTGGGGAGGGAAATATATCCTTGGTAGTGGGGTCAGATTGCAGGTGGCGGAAGTGGCGGAGAATGATGCATTGAATCAGGAGGTTGATGGGGTGATATGTATACGGTCTGGACCCGAAATGTCAGCCTTCCTGCTCCCCCGATGCTGCCTGGCCTGCCATGCCCATCCAGCTCCACACCCCGCTATCTCAGACTCCAGCATCAGCAGTTCCTACTATCTCTGACCTTCCTTACCTGGTCTGGCTTACATGTGACTCCAGACCCACAGCAATGTGGTTAACTCTAAACTGCTAGGGATGGGCAATAAATGCTGCCTAGCCAGTAATGCCCTCATCCCGTTAATGAATAAAGAAAAAAACATCAATACCAAGTAAGACCCTGACCCCAGACTGATACCAATCGTGTAATTGGATAACAGATGAACATATGAATTAGTAGCCAGAGTTGGCCACTCAATGCCTCAAGCCTGCTCCACCATTGAGAAAGATCACGGCTGATCTGATCGTGGTCTCGATTCCTCTAGCCTACCTGGGCTGAGGTCTACCTGGCTGACCTTGTTACAATCACTACACCTCTTCCCCTCTGAGTCTGAGGATATATGCTGTTTCTTTTCTATTTGTAGCTGCAGCTGGGGAGTTTTAGCACTGGGTCAGGTCTCCAATTCTGTCTCTGACATGGATGACATATAATGCACATTAGCTTGTCTCTTGCACCAAGAGGTGCACTTCAGATGGCAAAGACATTTATGCAGCAACATCCACCGTGTTGATCTCAGATTCTGAGGTATCTTCAATGCTTGATAGAGAGGGAGAACCCACAGGTTCCAGAACAGTCGGAAAGGCTGCCAAGGGGCTGGACAGATTTGCTCCTGCGCTGTTTGTGAGTTTGTAGCTTTCGTATAGTCCACATGCTTGTTCAGGATCGCCGCACCTAACTGTACTTTATATATCACTGGACCTAACCTCGTATCAACCTGCCTATTAGCCATGCAGCGCCATTTTGTGGTTGCTACACCAAGCTCTGTCTCCTGAAGTAAACTGTCCCCTTGCTTAGCAAGGGAGTCTTGTGTCTGGCATTGGTGTTCTTAATGCCATTTCACCCTTCCTCCCAGGTCCAGGAAAATCAGATTTAACCTGGTGCAGAGTCTTCTCCCCATTAGCAACTGTGCTGGAGCTATCCCTGTAGTTGCATGACAGGTGGTCATATAAGCAAACTGAACTGGGACAGTTTGGTATCTAGTGAAGCTGAAGGCTATTTCTTTAAGAGACAACAAGGTGCAGGGCTGGATGAACACAGCAGGCCAAGCAGCATCATAGGAGCAGAGAGGCTGACGTTTCGGGCCTCGACCCTTCATCAGAAAAGGGGGAGGGGAAGGGGGTTCTGAAATAAATAGGGAGAG